CTGATGTTTCTTTCACCATTTATTAACTAAAAGCAATCTCCTGTTATGTTGCTCAGTTAATTTTGCTTCACGAACCTGAGCTTTCGCTTCCACCCTTGAGGACAAGGGTGCTTTAAAAGGAGAGGGAATGTTACATCAATATCGTTATCAAAATTAACCCTTGATGACAAGGGTGCTTTTAACCGGAGAGAAATATTACCGTTTATTTTAGTTAACTATTATTTATTTCTTAGTTTTATTTTTATTCATGTTTCGAATTTGTCAATTAGTTGTTAGTTGGTTGTTTGACTTATAAGACCTTATTTTTCTGTTAAGTTATCCAATTGTGTTATCCTATTTATTGGAAGGGATAGTGGGAGTCCTTGAACAACTACTTTAGTTGTGGGTCTAATTTGTATTTGTATATAAACATAATTATCAATAAAAATGGTATCACTTTATTTTGTTCCAACCTTAGTGTTTGTCTTCAGGTTCCTTGAAAACCTAACTATGAAGATCTAGTCTCGCTCGAATGAGTCTACACCTTCTCTTTATTCTCGCAATAGAAACATGGTTGTGTCAAGTGGTATCAGAGCTGGCAACAAAGCAAGGAACAAATCCAAACATTAGAGCATCCATTAGAGTGCATGGAAAAAATGGTGAAGTATATATCGATATTGAGCAAAAGGAAATATTCAGCAAGATGAATGAGGCGTTAATTTGACTAATCCAAAAGTAAAACTAATACATAAAGCTACATATAAAATAAATAAACAAAAAATAATGGAACTTATCATTCTATTAGGATGTACAGTATGGTGTGGGATTTTTTTTAGCAAGAAGTGCCCTAATGAGATAAGTTGCAATTCTTAATTAATTCTCAATGGGTGTTCCCTCCACTTATTGGAATAAACCTTAATTCTTTGTTTTTATATATTTATTATAGTCCCACATCTAAATTAACATCCTCGTTTCTATTTTATGCATCTTAGGGACATTCTATACTTGAGCGCTTTAATAATTAGTTCCAGAAAGAATAGATGGTCTAGTCATCTGTTCTGCATATCTCGACTTCAAATTTAATAGGCATCTTCAAATTGCATAGAATCCTTGCAATACTTCTCCATTTCCTTTGACTCTATAATTTTGTACAATACATTCTTTAATCTTTATTTCTTAGTAATAACTGAATTCAATATCTAAAACATTCCATCTTTAGGACAATATGATCTTATATTGTGACTCCACTGTCGTTTATATTCTATTTTGCAATTTTTGGTTTTGTTATGTTAGGAAATTCGAAGTATAGATGGGACTAGTGTTTTAAAATAATAAGTTATAGTTGGTGAGATTCAGTGATATTTATTTGTTGTAAATTTCTCTCCCAATTTTCCAATTCTCCAATTGGTCTTCTCTCTATCTTTTTCCTGTTCTACATTATATGCGCTTTTTGGTCGTTGGCTTGGCTTAGAATTATTGAACTCTCTTATAAAATTACTTTCAAGCCGCAACCTATAGTAAAGTTTCATGGTTTTTTTTTTTTTTTTGGGAACTAACAAGTTCAATTGAAATGCGTAGTAAATAAATGTAACAAATAAGTTACATTGATATTTTTGTTGAATTGAAATCTTGAAAGTATTGTGGATATTTTGTTGCTAACCTGACTTTGAGGACTTCACCCGCCGAAGGGAATCTAGGGCAATGAACTTCTTAGCTTAGTAATATCATGATAATGATTGCAACTTCGAATTCACCTCAATTAAAAAATGGAAAAAAAATCTTGATTCAAATACCGAAGGAATGAAGAAGATTAGAGATACAATCAAATATACGTGACTAATCCCCCCGCCCCCTGCCTGTTTCTCTCTTTTTCCCTTTTTTTTTTTTTTTTTTAAGAATAAGGGAGGAAAGGGAAAGAATAGAAGTAGATCCAACATCTACGAGACTCGGGTTCAAGTTAGAATTAAATGAATAATGAATATTAATAATAAAAAGCGAGCAAAATGGTTGAAGCATGATGAAGCATTTCAACAATATGTTCAAAATGGTTAAAGTAACATCAGCGAGACTCAGGTTCATGTTGGGTATTTCATAATCCAAAGTAAGATGCTTGAATCTGAGTCTTTATATAATTATGAGGACATGAGATTTAAGAAAAAGCCTTGGTAGAAACCATTAATGGATGTAGGACTTTCTCACAAAGAAGTGTACAAGTATTTCATTCATGTTGGGCATTGTCTTTCATTCATGGTGTGCTTTATATAATTATGAGGACATTTAAGAACAAGCCGTGGTAGAAACTATTAATGGATGTAAGACTTTCTTTCAAAGAAGTGTACGAGTATTTAATTTCTCAAAATTTGGAGAGTTGAACCTACTGAGAATAAAATTATCTATTTAGCTATTTGTTTACTATGCTCTAAGCTTATAATGAACTGATCATATCGTGTTTGTCATGGATTTGGGTAAGTCCCAATAAATATTTGAGGCATCATATGCTTTCTATTTCTTACTGGGCATTGTCTTTTTGATAAGCTTACAAAATGCATTGTAATGGATATGTAGTTTATTCTGGAAGTTAAGAAAGTACTTCTCTTTTCTTAGCCTAGCTAAAAATGCTTGGCTTCCCTTTTGCTTCCCAAGCCAGGCCATCGAAATGAGCTTATGAAATTGGTCTTTTGAGTGTTAGCTCCAACAGCTACAGGAAGGACTCGAAGCTGTGACAAGAGCCCAACCCTCTTTGTGTTCTCTGTTGCCCCGAGTTTTTATTGATGTTGGGGAATGAGAGAGTGGATTTAGCGAGGAATTTCAGATGCAACCTTGGAATTTCCAAAATCTCGTTAAAGAAAATCCAAATGCAAGTTTGGAAATCAGAGATAGATGGAAATAGATTGACTATAGAATCTGAACAAATGATGTTGGCCATTACCCATCTAAAACTATGTCCTCCCCATGACTTACAGTATCGAAAATTGAGAAGAAAATCTTAATTATTGGAAACAAATAGGCCATTTTTGGACCTAAATTCTTGAAAAGCATGTACCAAAATTGTTTGCTTCTATTCCAAGTTTTTCATATTCTACTGGGATCTATGTTGTGCAAGTGGATGTGCTTTATGAGATGTACTGTGGTTTCTGACTCGGTTCTAGGCTTTAATAATGTTGATAAATAATTGTTTCCTTGTTAATTAAAGTTATCAGCTCTGGAATAAAGATGAGTTTGCTGCCATTAAGTTACGATATGTTTTTTGTCCTTTTCTTTTATTCTATCTTTTTTTCTTTTAAGTGAGGAATAATGGCTTGTGATAATTTTATTTAGACTAAGGCTCCGTTTGATTCGCCAAATTTTTCATGGAACTTGAAATTCGAATTTCAACTTCCACTTTTCGCCTGTTTGATTGACAAAATTTTTCAGGGAATTCATTTTCCATGTAATTCTAGGTACAACACCTTAAAACGTGATTTTCCACCTTTTATTTTTCTAGGGGGTTGGTGGTTTTTGGTTTTCCACCTTTTTTTTTTTTTAATTGTTGGCAATGAGAACAAATTCTAGGAACAATTGTAAAAGAGGATATACCTGAAATTGTCAATTTTCATGTAAAATAAAGCCAAACGAACACCAAAATATAAATGATATTTTGATCTTTTTTTTTGGGCAATGGAAACAAATTCTAGGAATAATAGTAGAAGTGGATATCCCTTAAATTGACAATTTTCATGTAAAATAAAGCCAAACGAACACCAAAAAACACTTTTACTTCAACATTTTTCACGTGGAAAATTATACCAATCAAACACAAAAATTTACAATTCCCAAAAAAACAATTTTTAGGTAATTCAATTCCTTGGAATTCATTTTCTTTCCACCCAAATTTCATCTTCGCAATCAAACATATCCTAAATTAAAAGATAATTTGTGGAAAAGAGAGCTTCAATGGACAAATTAGGTGGATGAAGTAGGCATTGCGAATCAATTAATAAAGGACTACATTTTTATGACATTAAAATAAGTATATGTTTCGACAGCATTCACCTCCCTTGCTGCCAAAATAATTAACCATTTTTTTTACTTTTAAGTAATAGAGAAACTGTGTTTTTTTCTTTTTCATTTGGAGAAATCGGTAAATTGCTTGCTGTCAAAATAATTAACAAAATATTCCATTGTAACGTAGAAGATGGACTACCGTCATGTATATCAAAATCGTTGAAAAGTGTAAAGCAAAATCAAATAAGAATCAGTTAAGTGATAACGGTGACATTATGAATAGAAGGTGCTATGAGTCATACCCTTAGCCAAATCCCTTTCCATTTTATTTTTGTATTTATAATTTATTTTTTGGGTACTAAATTGATTGACGATGACCTAACCTTCTAGGATAGCCTTTGCAAGCCTACGAGTACTTGTGTGCTGGTTTTGTAAATAAGTGGATGTGAACGTAGATCTATTGATAATTACATCGACTCTTTGTGATTTCTAGTTAGTACATTAATATTTCAAGTGTTTGAAATTTTTTTCAAACATCCCATATTTCAATTTATACTAAATTAACCAGTCGTACTTTTTTGTTCGTAGCAATAAAAATTGACGACGTAAAATATGCAAACTTAGGGCAATGGTGATAATTGATTTTTGAAAGAAGGTATATGATTTAGTTATGTCAAGATTATTCAAAGCATTTTAACTAGAAAATCATCGATGGTAAACATTTGTAAACTTCAGTTAAAATACGTAAGACAATTTTCTATATATTATATTCAATTAGTATAATTTTTTCAAACTCATTTTTAATCATATATTTTTTCAATATTTTATACGTAAATTCATATTTAATCCCTACTATTAACTACAAAATTTCAGAAAAATCACTTTTCACTTGATCTATTGCCGAAAAATTAATGTCAAACGGTCTACTTATTTTTACTAAAATAAAAGGTAGAAAAAGGGAAAAGACTGCTAATGTGGAACGCTGGGCATCTACTGGCCGTTAGATTATCTGAATCAACGGTCCAGGAAAAACCCTAATAATACATCAGTTCTGAACTTCATTTATAACCTCTCAATTGGACTTCCTATTTTTCTCATTCTCTCTCGTTCCTCGCATAAATCTCTGGAATCGGTGAGCGAGAGAGCTACCTGACTACCTGTAGTCTTCTTCCGAATGTTAGTACTAGTGTAATATATTTTTTATGTATAATTTTATATCTATGTATTGAATTGTACATTTTTGTTGATGGCTCTGTTTCGTGTTATGATATATATACATTTTTTAATTCATAGCCTTTATGCTAGATAAGCTTAATTTTGTATGTAATTTCAGTCACGATCAGCTGTTTCATCAAATATTATAACCGATTTTGTAATTGATACGTGTTTTACCTATAATTCTGAATTTGAAGTGTGTATATATACACTGAGTTATGTAATGTTAATGTAGATGGATGTCAAACACCTTAAAACTATAGACGCTTTAGAATTTAAATCTGTAGCATGCATAATTTTCCATTTTTCCATATATAAAGTCTAGTGTTATTAAGATTATTTCTAATGTTTATATAATTTGATTGTTGTTTTTTTTACATTCTTAAAGCATCTCTTTGAAGGTTGTTTCTAACGCATTCTAATGTTCATATGATTTGATTCATTATAGAGTTTAATTGTTACAGACTGTTCTTTTATCTTTTAGTTCATTATAGTTATTGTGTTATAGATTTCATTTTTTTTTCCCGTAAAAATGGTAAATAATCCTAAAATTTTGATATAATATTTATTGGATCCTGTTGGTTTTTACTTGAAGATATATTTATTTATTTTTGCAGACATGTTAATTTTGTTTTCTTCAGTGTATATTTTGCAAACATGTTGTACTGACAACGCCTTTTATTTTTTATAGCATCTTTGTTTTTAAAAGTTCAACATGGGTAAGGAGAAGATTCACATCAACATTGTGGTCATTGGCCATGTTGACTCTGGAAAGTCGACCACCACTGGTCACTTGATCTACAAGCTTGGTGGTATTGACAAGCGTGTCATTGAAAGATTCGAGAAGGAGGCTGCTGAGATGAACAAGAGGTCTTTCAAGTATGCCTGGGTGCTTGACAAGCTCAAAGCTGAACGTGAGCGTGGTATTACCATTGATATTGCCTTGTGGAAGTTTGAGACCACAAAATACTACTGCACTGTCATTGATGCTCCAGGACATCGGGACTTCATCAAGAATATGATTACTGGTACCTCACAGGCTGACTGTGCTGTCCTTATCATTGATTCCACAACTGGAGGTTTTGAAGCTGGTATTTCCAAGGATGGCCAGACCCGTGAGCATGCTTTGCTTGCCTTCACCCTCGGTGTCAAGCAAATGATTTGCTGTTGCAACAAGGTGAGCCACTTCAGCGGTTTAACTTTCTGTGTGCATATAATTGTTATCACATGAAGAGTTCTGTAATGTTTTTTATTGTATAAAAATGAGCCATACTTATTTGCATTATACAGATGGATGCGACCACACCAAAATACTCCAAGGCAAGGTATGACGAAATTATAAAAGAAGTCTCTTCCTATCTCAAGAAGGTGGGATACAACCCAGAGAAAATCCCATTTGTCCCCATCTCTGGTTTTGAAGGTGACAACATGATTGAAAGGTCCACCAACCTTGACTGGTACAAGGGCCCGACTCTCCTCGAGGCTCTTGATATGCTTCAGGAGCCCAAGAGGCCTTCCGACAAGCCCCTTCGTCTCCCGCTTCAGGATGTTTACAAGATTGGTGGCATTGGTACTGTTCCTGTGGGTCGAGTGGAGACAGGTGTTATCAAGCCTGGTATGGTTGTCACCTTTGGTCCATCTGGATTGACAACTGAAGTTAAGTCAGTTGAAATGCACCATGAAGCCCTCCAGGAGGCTCTCCCTGGTGACAATGTGGGGTTCAATGTCAAGAATGTTGCTGTCAAGGATCTCAAACGTGGTTATGTTGCCTCTAACTCCAAGGATGATCCTGCCAAGGGGGCTGCCAATTTCACCTCCCAGGTCATTATCATGAACCACCCTGGACAAATTGGAAACGGGTATGCCCCAGTTCTCGATTGCCACACCTCCCATATTGCTGTGAAGTTTGCAGAGCTTATCACCAAGATTGACAGACGATCTGGTAAGGAGCTCGAGAAGGAGCCCAAGTTCTTGAAGAATGGCGATGCTGGTTTTGTTAAGATGATTCCGACCAAGCCCATGGTGGTTGAGACTTTCTCCGAATACCCACCTCTTGGTCGTTTTGCCGTGAGGGACATGCGTCAAACTGTGGCTGTTGGTGTCATTAAGAGTGTAGATAAGAAGGATCCAAGTGGTGCTAAGGTCACTAAGGCCGCTGCAAAGAAAGGAGCCAAGTGAAGAAGATTGTGGACAGAAGGAATATTTTTTACTATTTGTATAAAAGTTTTTTTTTTTTTTTTTTTTTTTTTTTGGGGGG